ACCCTATTTATACCCCCATCACCATTAAAACACCTATTTATACGCCCCATCACCACTAAAAACACCTTTATACGCCCCATCACCACTAAAACACCTTTATACGCCTCATCACCACTAAAACACCCATTTATACGCCCCATCACCACTAAAACACCCATTTATACGCCCCATCACCACTAAACACCCATTTATACGCCCCATCACCACTAAAACACCATTTATACGCCCCATCACCACTAAAACACCCATTTATACGCCCCATCACCACTAAAACACCCATTTATACGCCCCATCACCACTAAACACCCATTTATACGCCCCATCACCACTAAACACATTTATACGCCCCATCACCACTAAAACACCCATTTATACGCCCATCACCACTAAACACCATTTATACGCCCCAACAGTAAAAACGCTAACGGGAGAGGAGCGATCCATTGTGTGAGTAATTAGTCATAAAATTGTTGACGCATCTGCATACAAAAACAAGCAGTAAAACTTTTCCTTGCTTGTGTTATGTGTGTAAATCTAGGCCTTACATCTGCTGATATATGGCTTATTACTCCTCGCAATCTCCCATTTTTGCATAATGAGATTCATCCATTTGTGACTTTGTTGGTTGGGTGTGTGTGGTATGTGTACATGACTGTTTGTTTTGTGTTTTCATGTGTCTATTAGTGTGTGTGTAAGTGTATGCTTGAGTATAGGTGTGTGGTGTAGCAGTCTGGACAGGGTGAAACTAGGGGCAAGTTTCTTTACAACATTTGCCTCTGTCTATCCAGCAGTAATTGGGGTACTGGATTGAATCGATTTGCCAGTGTAGTTGGCGAGTTGTCCGGTCATCTCGGACTATTCCTTGACACTGGGTCACGCAGCTCGTTAACTTAGGGTGTGGTTGTTGTGTTGGCGACAGCTTCTACACATTAAATATCCTTGGTCGGCCATCCTGGTACACTAGGGGCAACCATTATAGTATTGGTGTGTGTATGTGTGATCGTTCTCGCAGAGGTGTGCACTGTTTGTAGGTGTAGAGCTGTACATACGTAGGTGTATATATATATATAGGTACACGGTAATTAAAAGGCACACTCATTAATGGAACTTAATTAATATAACTGTACCTAAAAGATCTTGTCAAAGGAGACCAGCGCGGCCGTCCCCAGCAACTCTTGTGCGTCGCTGTACTCGTTCAGGTGTTCACTGTACAATCAAGTCGTTAAGCTGTGCCATGTAAGAGCAAGCGACCATCACAAACCCTGGTGGGAATGGGAATGGCAACAGGAATGGGAATCGTGTTGAAAAGCCAGAGTGAAACGTTGGTGATAACATTTGTAAGTCAAAACCGCATTGGGGTTGGTGGTCACGACTGAAGTGTTGGTGATAGGGATTGTGTACTGTTGGTGAAGATGGTAGGGATTGTTGGTGGTGATGGTAGGTTAGGTTAGGATAGGTTTGGTTAGGTTGAGAATTTGGGGCCACGACACCCTCCCCCACACACACTTACGCCTCACACACTCCCACACACACACTAACATCACTGGCCCTCCCACCACGTACCCTCCCACACACCCACACACCCCCACCACACAACCTCCCCACACACCCCACCACGCATCCTCCCACACACACCACACCACACCCTCCCCACACACCCCCACCCCCACACCCCACCCACACACCTCCCCACACCCCACCACACACCCTCCCAAACACCCCACCACACACCCCCCCACTCACCCCTCACCACACACCCCACCACGTACCTCCCACACACCACCACACACCTCACCACACACCCTCCACACACCCCACCACACACCCTCCCACACACCCCACCACACACCCTCCCACACACCCCCACCACACACACCCTTCCACCACACACCCTCCCCACCACACACACCCTCCCACACCTCCCACCACACAGCCACATCACACACCTCCCACACACCACCACACACCCCACCACACACCTCCACCACACACCCCCACACCACACACCTCCCACACACCCTCCCACACACCCCCATCACACACCTCCCACACACCCACCACACACCCCCACACACCCACCCACACCCCCCCCACACCTCCACACACCCCTCCCACACACCCCCTCCCCACACACCTCTCCCCACACACCCCCATCACACACCTTCCACACACACCCCCACCACACACACCTCACACACACCCCCACCACACCCCCCACCACACACCCCCCACCACTCCCCACCACACACCCTCCCCACACACCCCCCACCACACACCCTCCCACCACACACCCCCACCACACACCCTCCCCACACACCCCCCACCACACACCCTCCCCACCACACACCCCACCACACACCCCACCACACCCCACCACACACACCTCCCCCACCACACACCCTCCCCACACTCCCACCACACTCACCACACACCCTCCCACCACACACTCCCACCACACACCTCCCACACACCCTCCACACACCTCCCACCACACACCCCCCACCACACACCCCTCCCACCACACTCCCACCACACACCTCCTACACACCTCCCACACACTCCCACCACACACCCCAACACACACCTCCCACACACCCTCCCACCACACACCCCCACCACACACCCTCCCACACACAGTAATATAAAAGAAAAAGAGAAAAAACAAACAAACATTCTTCCCTCGCCTTCTC